CCAAAAACAGATTTGACGTCGTTTACCGTATCGGACACAACCGAAGCTACGCTTATCGGATTGGTATGAAATTTATACCATTTTGAATCTAAGATAAAGGGATACAATTTTGAAGAAGGCCACTCAGTCCAGTTTGTAGTGTAACTAGGTCAAAATTTTAATGTACAAAACCAGAATCTCACCCACAAGTTAGCTAACCGCACTATGGTTAAATGGCAATAACTCAGGCTACCAAAGTCCGATTGAGGGGTTTCCAGGGGTGTTGGAAAGCTAAGACACAAAACTGCAACTTCTATGTTTTGACCAAAGGTTAAATCAGTACGCATCAAGCTAAACAGACACGGTCAGATTGGGTGAAATGTCAACCCTGTTCACCGACCTCTACCTATGGCAGTCCGGGTATTTCTGTCTTTTCACAGGCTATAGAAATCGGATTGATCTGAAATTTTACAGGAAACTATAAAACATCATTATTTCCTACAACTTTCATGTTTTAACCTAAGGTTGAATCGGCCTCTATCTTGGTTAAAAAAAACAAACCGGGCAAAACAGGGGTAGGCGAAACCCTAACCTAGAAATTTTGCACCAAACCAGAAATTTCGTACAATCAATCATATCCCACATATATCAACTCCATTTTACACTATAACTAACCATCTATCCATAACTAACCAACACTAAACATATGAAAACTGAAAAATCATGAATAAAATAAAAATCCACCAATCTCAACCAAAAGTCATGAAATCATCCATAAAATCACTTATTCAACTACTACCAATCACTAATTGAACACTATCAAGATCAAAGGAAAGATTTCTTAACCACTTACCTTGTAAACTCAAGAAAGGAAGCAACTTAGCACCTTTGCTTCTCAAACCACTTCACCACTCACCTTAATCCTACCAAGAGAAAGGTTTTTATGGAGCAAATCAAAGTTTTAACGGTTGGTTTGTGAGATCAAGGCAAGAAATTGAAGAAAGAAGTTGGAAGTTTTCTCTTCTTTTTCCTCCAAGAAGCTCGGCCAAAAGAGAGAGAAATAAGATGATTTTTTGGTTATGTAATAAAGGTGATAAAATGGTCAAAGTCCATGTCCAATAGAAAAGTGCCACCTAGCACCTTTTAGTTCACAATTATCCTTTTATCTCTCCACATTAATCCATTTATGTAACCTCCAATTATCTCTTAGCACCTCATAAATTAATCCCTGTATACACCACTTAACCTCATTGATCAAAATTTTAGCGCACTTACCGCACTAACGGGTCTCATGTCCAATATACACTTCTAAAATCTCATGAACTAATTTATACCAGAAAATGATTTAAAAACTATATTTACTCATAAAATTATATAAAAAATTTTCCTAATCTAGAACATATGAAAAACGTGTAATTCAATAAAATAAAACCTAGAAAATAAGAAAATTTACGGGCTCTCACACTCTCTCCCTCTTAAAAGAATTTCGCCCTCGAAATTTCTCACCTTGATTCCGGAATAGGTCAGGGTATTTCCTTTGCATTTCTTCTTCCACCTCCCAGGTAGCCTCCTCTACCCCATGATTTTTCCTCAATATCTTTACCAAAGGAATTTGTTTGTTTCTCAACTCCTTAACTTTTCGGTCTAGCAACTGTACAGGTTTCTCTTCATAAGTGAGCGATTCATTTATTTCGATTTCCTCCGATTGTAAGATATGAGATCGGTCGGGATAGTACTTCTTAAGCATCGAGACGTGGAAGACGTCGTGAATTCTGGATAGACTGGACGGTAGTTCAAGGCGATAGGCTACTTTACCAACCCTTTGGAGAATCGTAAAAGGTCCGACGAACCTCGGTTGCAATTTCTTTCCTCTACCTGTTGTAATGCTCCGTAATGGTGTGACCTTGAGGAAAACACGGTCTCCAACTTCGAACTCTAAGTCTTCGATTATCCGCGTAGCTCTTTTGTCGGCTTTGAGCTGTTTGGAGTCTTTGTCGTATCAACTTGACCTTTTCTCGTGCCTCCTCCATCCATGGAATAGCCGTTGGATCCAGGATTTTCTTCTCGCCGACTTCATCTTAGTAAATCGGTGACCGGCACTTCCTCCCATATAGTGCCTCGTATGGAGCCATTTGAATTGACGAATGGTAGCTGTTATTGTACGCAAACTCCACTAAGGTCATGTGTTGACCCAGTTACCCCCAAAATCCAGAATACAGGTCCTTAACATGTCCTCAAGAGTTTGGATTGTTCGCTCCGATTGTCCATCCGTCTGAGGCTGATAGGTGGTGCTTAGGTTGAGTTTAGTCCCTAGAGTCTCCTGAAACTTCTGCCAAAACCTAGATACGAAGCGAGGATCTCTGTCAGAGACGATGCTCGTAGGAACGCCATGTAGCCTTACGATCTCGTCCATGTACACTTGAGCCAATTTGTCCATGGAATACTTCATGTTTACCAGCAAAAAAATGAGCCGATTTGGTTAATCGATCAACGATTACCCACACGGCATCATGTCCTCATTGGGTTCGTGGCAACCCCGATACGAAGTCCATGGTAACGTTTTCCCACTTCCATTCGGGTATCTCAAGAGGTTGTAATAAGCCTGATGGTTTTTGATGCTCCGCCTTGACTTGTTGGCAAACAAGACATTTCTGCACATACAAAACGATTTCCTTCTTCATATTGTCCCACCAATATGCTCCTTTTAGGTCTTGATACATCTTGCTACTACTCGGATGGATCGTATACTTGGACCGATGAGCTTCCTCTAAGATCTCCGTTTTTAACGTTTCATCTTTAGGTACCACCACTCGGTTTCGGTATTTTAGAATACCCTCGGGACTAAAGTTGAAGTCGGTCGATTCTCTTTTGTTCACCTTTTCTCCCCACTTCCACACCATCGAATCCTCCTTTTACGCTTCCTTAATTCGTTCCAGTAGGGTGGATGTTACTTTAATATTACTAAAAACCACCTTATGACTCCCAAGGCAGGGTTTCCACTCACAAACGGATTCTAACAAATCCCATTCCTTAATCATTAACCCTGCTACTTGAGCCTTTCAACTTAAGGCATCAGTCACCACGTTCGCTTTTCCCGGATGATAGTTGATGGTGCAGTCGTAGTCCTCCAGAAATTCTATCCACCGTCGCTGCCTCATGTTTACTTCCTTCTGCGAGAAGAGGTATCTAAGGCTCTTATGGTCTGAGTACACCTCGAACGTTACCCCGTATATCAGTGCCTCCACTTTTTCGGAGTGAAAACAACCGCGGCTAACTCAAGATCGTGGGTTGGGTAGTTCTGCTCGTGGGGTTTCAATTTCCTATAGGCAAAAGATATCACATTCCGATTTTGCATCAGCACACACCCTCGACCTTCCTGCGACGCATCGGTGTAAACGGTGAACCCGTCTACTCCGTTAGGCAAAGCTAGAACTGGCGCCATCATTAATCTTTTCTTTAACTCTTGAAAACTCGCTTCGCATTTGGCATCCCACACAAATCGACCATGTTTCTTCGTCAGGTCGGTTAAAGGACCGGCTAGTTTGGAAAAGTCTTTAATGAAACGCTGATAGTACCCCGCTAACCCTAGAAAACTACGAATCTCCATGGGGTTCTCTGGCCTCTTCCAATTAGTCACGGCCTCTACTTTCGCCGGTTCAATCGAAATGCCTTCTTGGAAAATTATGTGCCCTAAAAAGGAAATTTTCTCCAGTCAAAATTCGCACTTACTGAACTTGGCGTACAACTGATGCTTTCTTAGGGTTTGCAAGATGATTCCCAAGTGCTGCTCATGCTCCTCACGCGTCTTGGAGTAAACCAGGATGTCGTCGATAAAGACCACGACAAATCGATCCAAATAGGGCTTAAAAATCCTGTGCATTAGATCCATGAAGGCGGCAGGGGCATTGGTCAGTCCAAAGGGCATGACCGTGAACTCGTAGTGCCTATATCTCGAGTTGAAAGCAGTTTTCGGGATATCCTCTTTCCTAATCAACAACTGGTAATACCCCTGTCGAAGATCTAACTTCGAGAAGACCACTGCTCCTTGCAACTGGTCGAACAACTCATCAATATGGGGTTGTGGATACTTATTTTTAATCGTGACATTGTTCAGCCCCCGGTAGTCTATACACATCCGCAGACCCCCGTCTTTCTTTTTCACAAACAGTACAGGGGCCCCCCAAGGAGACCCACTCTCTTGAATGAACTCCCGCTCCAAAAGATCTTGTAACTGCAATTTCAACTCCCTAAGCTCAGCAGGTGCCATCCGATACGGGGTTTTTGAGATAGGTGACGTTCCAGGTAACAAGTCAATTTTGAACTCTATCTCTCTCTCCGGAGGTAGGGCTACTAACTCATCAGGGAATACAGCTGGATATTCCTTCACTATGTGCACATCCTCTACCTTCAATTTATCGGTGGGGGTATTAATTAGAAAGGCTAAGAACCCTTGCGCCCCTCTACTTAGTAATTTCCTAGCCCGAATGCCCGAAATCAAGGCAAATAAGGCTAACCTACCCCTTATATCCAATCTTAAGGTTGCCTCACCCGGTATGCGAAATTCTACCACCTTCTTTTTACAATCTAGTTGGGCATTATACCTGGCTAGCCAGTCCATGTCCAAGATCACGTCATACCCCTTAATGGACAGGCTTATCAAATCTCCTAACAATCTCCTCTCTCCTACCCAAACTTCACAATCCTTATAAACCATACTAGTAACCAAACGCTGATCCCCCGTTGGCGTATTAACTTCTAGGTCATAAGGTAAACTAGCAGGTTTTATATCAATGCCACACATGAAATTGGGGTTAACAAAGGAATGGGTGACACCGGGATCTACTAAGACCTTTGCAAAGCGGTGGAATATAGGGATCGTACTTCTACGATCTCAGAGGAATCTGGGACCTGTTGAGGCTCTAACGAGTACACTCGGGCCGCTACCTTGGGCTTTGTCCCGTCTCCCTTAACTGGTCCAGCGTTGGTCCTCGGTGGTTGCTGACTTCCCTTTCCATCTTGTTTTAGGATTGGGCAGGCGGCAAGCTGATGGCCTGCACTTCCGCAACGCAGACACTTTCCCTCCTTCTTCCAACAGTTGTTCTCAGTGTGGTTTGGCTTTTCGCAATACCCACAGGGTCCACGGGATGCCGAACCCGAACCTTTCTGGAAACTTCCTCCCTAGCCTCTCCTAGCCGGGCCACCCCTAGACTGAGCCCCTCTACCTGCGCCCGTCTGTCTTCCACCTCCGACTTCCCGTCCATACTTGGGAGGGGCACTCTTATCCCCCTGCCCTGACTGCTCCCAGGAAAGCCTCGCTTCTTTGCCTGAAAGTTTCTCACTTGTAGCCTAGCGCTTTCCACCTGCTGGGTTTTCTCCACGGCCTCGCTAAAAGCATTAATCTGGGCCACCGCGAGGTCCTTTTGTATTTCCACATTCAGGCCCTGGATAAAACGCCTTATCCACTGTTGCTCGGTCACGATTAGCTCTGGGGCAAATTTGGATAGGCGGGTGAACTGGCTCTCGTACTCTGCTACAGACTGAGCTCTCTGACGAAACCGAATAAATTCATTTTCTTTCCGTTCCTGAACTAGAGGAGGGAAGAATTTAGCGTTGAACTCTCGCATAAAGTTCACCCAGGTCCAGGGCGTTTGCTCCCATTCCCACTTCTGCCAGATGACGTTCCACCAGGAACGGGCCACCTCTTCTAGCTGAAAGACGGCGAAGGTCACCTGCCTCTCCTCGGTATAGTGCAGGGCAGCAAAAATATCCACCATTTTCTCTAGCCACCTTTCGGCTACATCTGGATCGGGCCCCCCAAGGAACTTTAGTGGGACAAATTTCTGAAATCTCTCGAGGGCCCTGTTCTTGCTCTCCACGTGGTTGCCAGGGTTTTTCGGGTTAGGATTAGGGTTTTGTCCCTGTTGCTGCACCACTTGGGCTAGCAAGTTAGTCATTTACTGCATGGCAGCAGCTATTTGAACATTGGGATCAACCCTAGGTTCAGGGTTTGGTCCAGACGAGGTTTCCCCAATGCCCCTTACAGACGTGGGTTGCCTACTCCCGCGTCCACGGCCTCGACCACTACGTGTTCCTTCCATAGAGTTTAGTCGAGTCGATCTAGGGTACAACGTAAATAGAATATTAAAGATTACGGTAAACATAAGTAAGAAACCAAAAGCTATTCACAATCAAAACATATTTACATGTCCCACACAGTGGCAAACAAGTCACATATTAACAGTCAGTCGATTGCAAACAAGGAAATTCCATGAGGCAACAGAATCATCAAAAGATATATTTACAAAGCAAGTCCAAACACACAAAAACGGCTAGCTAAGGGGTCTTTTCTTCATCTCCTGTCCCCATGTAACCAAAAGTAGCTCAAAACATCCTAGCCTAGTTCTCGACGGAGCCACAGACTCCCCCCTTGGATAGAACTAGGGGTACTCCCTTCACTAGGCGGGTTAACACTTGGAGCCCCTACTTGCGCGTTGGCGCCAATCACACCTTGGATCAGCGCCTCACACTCATTAATAATGCCGCCGGAGCGGTCCCTAACCTCCCGGACGACATTAGTAAGACAATTATTGACCCCTTGCAACTGCTCCCTAAGAGCTTCGGTTCGTTCTTGCTCCATAGCTATGTCCTCTCGGAGCTCCCCTATCCAGTCCGCTTGCATCCTCATGATGCCTTTCAGCCTAAGCATCTCCGTGTGGTCCCTGGCGGTGGCCCGTCTAAGCCTCCTCCGTTCATCTAGTACCGCCACGACCACGTGATCCGCATAATAGTGACTCTGGCAACGCCTACAGTGACGGGTCCGACTAGCGGTGTACCAGAGCCGGATCAGACCTCCTGGCCTGTCCTGATAATCGATAACGCGTGGGCGTCTCCTAGGTGGCTCACCTCTACCCACACCACTGGTTCCGGCCATAACCTACAAAGATAGCAAAAGGATTCATATCTTAAACAATGCAAACATAATCACACCTAACGGTACCTTAACACTTCCCTCACAGGTCCTAAGGAACAAACTTCAATCTTGCCTAGGTCACTTCTAACCTAGGCTCTGATACCACCTGTGACAGCCGCACTTTCCCCTAAGGCGTACCAAAGGGATTCGCGGACTGCCTGCCCAACTCTTGTCGGGACTAACGAGGCAGTTAAATACGATCTAAAACGTTACGGAAGGTAATAGCGCACTCAATCTATTCAAAATTGCAAAATAGCAAAACGAAAATCAAAACCGCCATGAATAGTGGGTGCCATGTCATATAACTCGAAAAAACATTTCCAAACCAAATAGGATACATGAACAGAGTTAAACAGTATTATACCCGTACGTTTGTCATTTTCAACAGAAAAGGAAGATAATTAAATCAAGATACATTTAGGATTTTTCCAACTATCGAGGAGCTTCACAAAAATATATTAAAACTAGCTCAACTCGTGCTTCAGAACATCATAGTCCCCAAAAGTGGATCCCAGTATGGAAAACAAAATTTAATGGAGTGAGTTTTCGCCCAATGAGGTACCATCACGCAAGTAAATAAAAATTCACATAAGCACAAAGTTGCTCAATCCAAGTACGTTCAATAAATGAATCAACTGGCACCACATTTCAATAAAGATTTCTAAAGGATATGGTCGGCTCTCAAGAGCCCTTTTCTTCGCTTGCCGTACTTGATCTCGCCCCGTTGACCCTCCGTCAATGTTTAAGGAGTAACCAATACCGTAGACTCCACTTTCTCCGATTCCTTCCACCTCACATACCCCTACCGGGCCCGAACTCCAACCAGTTCAGTAATGGTAATACTCGAGTATACCGGAATCAAGAGTCTCGTACCCATCGATTCCTTAGAAACAGTTCCCCATGGCTTATCAATTTCCTCGACCAAGCACTTGCTGGCTCGATTCAATTGACCACCAATGGGGTTGAGCTCAGAATCAACAGTATAAGTCGTTGGATACACGTCTAAACGACACCAATTCAAGTATAATCAAGACAATTCAAGTGATAAAGTAAACAATCAATTAAGCCATAGAGTACGATAGTGGTAAAGTACACCCTCGTCTCAATCAGTATCATCAGTAAAAACAAACATTCCACTCATACATCTCAAGTATAACAAAGCCAAGAAGTATCAATCATGTGAGTAGTACACTCACCACCCAAGCAAAGAGGGTTATCACAAATTTCTGTCCGTCGAGTGCCTTGCATCACCAGCACGCCCTAAAACATTCAATAAAACACAATAAGACTCAATTACAAGTCATAAACCAAATCCACATACTACCAAAAATAAGGCCCCATTAGAACGTATAAGTACAAAATTAAGCTAGGAAAAGTTCAGAAATGACAGTTAAGCCCTAAAACCCAAAAACAGATTTGACGTCGTTTACCGTATCGGACACAACCGAAGCTACGCTTATCGGATTGGTATGAAATTTATACCATTTTGAAGCTAAGATAAAGGGATACAATTTTGAAGAAGGCCACTCAGTCCAGTTTGTAGTGTAACTAGGTCAAAATTTTAATGTACAAAACCAGAATCTCACCCACAGGTTAGCTAACCGCACTACGGTTAAATGGCAACAACTCAGGCTAATGAAATTTTGTAGGCAACTATAAAATACCATTATATACAACTTTCCTGTTTTATGCCAAGCCTAATTCGGCCTATAACTGCACGAACTGGAACCGGACAGAACAGGGTGAAATTTTTCCAGAAATCTGGAATTTTTGGTTTCAATGATAACTTTCTTCATTTCTTGCTTCACTTGCTACCAAAACCCCTTATACAATCTTAGATACAACATATATTAACCATACATCAAGTATAGGCAGCAATCCATCAAACCCTAATTCATGTAACCAAAAGGAAAAACACCCAAAACATGATAACAACCATCATTCACCACAAATTTGAGATGCTAAGCTAATTGAACAAGATCAAGAGTAAGAAATGGGGAAATCATCGTCCTCACCTTGCTTAAGTGTCTACCAAGAGCAACCCTAGCTTTCCCTTTCAAAATTTCACCAACACTTCACTAAACAAACACTCAAGGGTGACTTTAATCGGTTTAGTTTCTTTTCTTTCTCACTTGGCAGCTCAAATTCAAGATGAAAAAGGTGTTTCTTTGCTCTCTCTTTCCCCTCTTGTGTCTCTGCCAACCAGCAGAAATATGGTGAAGAAAGGTGCAAAATGGAGTGTAGACACCAAATTTTTGACTTTATTTTTCATTATTAGTTTTATTGATATTTATTTTAGTTTGGTTTTACTAATCTCATTTTTAGACATTTTGGCATTAAAAAAAGAAAAAAAGTGAAAAATGATGAAAAATGAAAAGAAAAATGAAAAATTACAATTTTGCTGTTTATTATTTCTAGTTTATTTATTTTTACCTGATGTTAATTAAATTGTTGGTTTTTACTTAATTTTAGTATCATTTTGCTAAATTACTTTTAAAAAAAAAAAAAAAAAAGAGGCCGCGGCATGCAAGCTGCGTATTTTGGCAGCTTGCAAAGAAGAGTGGTACATGGCCATCGGATGGCCTGGGTTGAAGAGGAATCTCCTCTTCCATCCTCACCCTTGAGGTGAGGGTTGGCCTGGTATAAATACAAGAAAGAACAACAGCCGCAAGCAGGAGAAGGGATGGGGAGATAGAAAAACAGCAAGGGGAAAAGAAAAGAGGGGAACGGCTAAGAAAAGAAAAAACCAGAGAAGACTTGACAGCTGGTGGAGAGAGATGAGCGACTAGGGTCTTAGAAGAAAAGAACGCAGCTTTTGTGGTGGCTGGAAAGGAGATAAAGTGAGAGATTGAGGGGCTAGTTGGCGGCGGGAAAAGAAAACAGAAGGAGAGAGGGCGACGGAAGGAAGCAAACAGAGGAAGAAAAAGGGAGAAACAGCGAACGAAAAGGGGAAGCTGGGGTTCTTGAAAGAAAAAGGCAGAGAGGGGAGAATCGAGGTTGACAACGGGGGAAGAGTAAAAGGAGAAAAGAAGGCCGAGAGAGAGAGCTGGGAGGGGGGCTTCGGCTGGAAACCAGAAAAAGAAAAGGAAGGATCTTCGGTGGGCATCGCCGGCACAGCACTGGAGTTTCCTGCAACCCAGTTCGTGGGTCTCATTTTCCCCTGAAAAAGTTGGATTTCGTCGGGATATCTCATCTGCAGCTGGTCAAGAAAGCATTTTCAGGTAATCTTCTCCCCTGTTTGGGTCGACTTATCAGATTATCATGCATGAACTGTCAAATTTTTCTTTGCCGCTGTGTTGCTTGATCCTCTTGATGTTACTCTCCTTTAACTTTTATGAACTTTGAGCCTTTAAGTTGTGCTAGTGGAAAAGTAAGTTGCATAATCTAGTTAACTTGAAATATGCTTCGGATGAAACCCAGAAATCAAGACAAGAGGAAAGCCTCTGAGTGAAAATATGCATCCTCAGTTGCGAGTTCGTCCTTTGCATTTTGCTGCAATTTTCATGCCTTTTGTACTCCCGAATCTGTCGGGGGGAGAGGGATGTTGAATCCTTGGCCTGTTTGGCATTGTATGATCTTTCTGGGATTGTTAATAAGCTGCAAAAATGATAGAAACAAAGAAGCTTTAGTTGGCCGAAAATTTTAGTTTGCTCAAAGAGCTTGATTCAGTTTGTTATTTGGACTAGAATGACATGTCTACCTTTGCTGCAAGTCTTTACCCTTTTGTGTGTTTGAATGAGTGAAGATGCCCATGAGTCTTTAGCATGAATGTTGCCTCGGCCGAATGAGTAAAATTGCAGCGAGCTGGGGAACAAAAGGCTGCATGCTTCATTTGTGTAGTTGCAGAAAACCTGCGGCATTTTTTCCTTTTTCTATTGCTGTCTTGCTGTTTGTCTTTTTATCCTTGATGGCCAGCTCCAACTTCATACTTGCAATGAAATTGTGTGTTTAGTTGATGGTTGATAGGTAGAAATCTGAAAATTT